AAAACCCCACTTTTAGAGTTTGCGGTTTTTATAACTTTAATCACCAGCATGTGGGCCAAAATAATATTAGTGCAACCTCTGACAGTTTTACCCCTTAGTCCCCTAAATGAGATCCATCTCATACAAGTTTTGGCAAGAGACAAAGACAGTGAGCCCATAAGAAAGCTCAGGAGGCCGTTAACCACTTTGTATTTGGAAAAAGGCTAATATGGTACTCAAGAGATGATGCTTAAAGACACACACTGACTGAGGAGAGTAAAAAATGTTGAATAGAACTGCCCATTCATCAAGCACTGTCTGCTCTATTTGGTGAATATAGTAGTGTCCCTTGAATAAAAATAGTAAAAATCACCATCCCCGGACAGCAAAGAAACCAAAAAGCAACCGAGTAGAATTTTATTTCATCCTGCTCAGTATTTAACAACCAGCTTAAAAGGGTCTTTGTAGAAGAAGATGGGGGGGGTGATTACTCTTTGAAGGTAATAGCAAAGCTATCAAAGCTGTTAGTCTACTCCCCATTTGAATGAAAACCAGAGAAAAAAAGTAGTTAGGTTACTCCAAGTGGAGCTTAATTGTTAAGCCTTTAGTTCCTGTATTTCTGATCCATCACTGATTGAAATTATTCCAGGTGGGCTAAGACATAATAGTGACTACTGTATGTGAGTATTAGTAGCTTCCAGCTTTGCTTTAAGGAAATAGGGGAATATCTGCTGGTGGGCATAAACTAAAAGTAGGCTGCAATCAAGCCATCAGCAATTTAGGGGAACAGCCTAGACGGTGATGGTCAGCTTTGTAGGTCATCAGTATGTGTTCAGCAGACGTCCCTGAGGAGACTGTGTTAGTGTCCAAGGCTTCACTAATTGGAACACTGCACTTTCCAGACAGTGCTGTAACCAGCTCAAATGTGAACTCTCTCATTACCCTTCCTCTGTCCCATGTTTCAATCCACAGAAAGATTAACCTAGTGGGAATAAGCACACCACAGAGGGGCTTTCAACTTCAAACAACAGCTGGTACCCTATGGAAGTGAAAAAAAATTATCCTTAAATAGTCTGCCCTATTCTGTTGTCACAGCTGTTGCTATTATTGTAACTATCTTTGTCATGGTCAATTTTTTTTTAAAGAGTCATTAATATCACTTATTTTATATTATTTAATGTATGTTCAGACCAAATTCCTACCTTTCTTATGATTTTCAGAACTTACTGGAAAATAATGTTTCAACACATTGCTATATCCTGTGCCAGTACTTTAGGCATAATGAAATAACTATCTTATACCAGTGAATGACTGTAGAACTTTCACTGTACTCATTCAGCATTAAATAACTTCCTTGCAAGATCCATGTTCTGCCTGCTTTTTCACTGTTTCAAACTACCAGATGTCTCCTAAAACCTGCCCTATTCAGGCATCTGCAAGGTCAATAAGTTTGCATAAATGAGAAGCCAGAAATTGATGCAATGAGTCAAAACGTGGTCTCATTTACACCAGTACTAAATGCAATCTCTTCTCCGTGATGTGAGCTGTGATTTTGCCTCATTTCTGAATCCCAGGAACTTTTGGTCAGGTACATTGCTAGTATGCAATTATCTGATTCCTGGCATGCACTAGTTTTGAAATAGCTTAGCCATGGTTCTCTGAGTGATTTAGTGTAATGGGGAAGAGAAACCGAAGAAAGAATTATTCTGTGGGAAAAAAATACATGTCTTGTAGAAATGCCATTTTCAGAACTGGAGATATGGTATAAGATGGAGATATGATATAAGCATAAGTACAGCATAAATGCTTCTTCTCCAAGCTCCGTAGTTATTCCTCACTGAGAGGCAGGGAGACACAAGGAAATTATTCCCAAGGTAGCCCTACCATAAACCAAGTAGTTAGAACTGCAAATAGGTTGAAGATTGGAGCTTTTGGTAGTTACAGAGATTTCATTTTGATTTACAAAGACTTCTTATAAACTCCAGTGTGTGACTGAAATACTTCTCTTTGAAGCCTCTACTTAGCTACTCAGATATAAAAATACGGCACTCAGCAATGGAAATACAGTGTTATTCTTTTGTCATTGTCTTACTCATTTTCACATGACCACAGATTTCTGTTCTGAAAAAGTTAGAGTTTGATTTTTGGAAGCAACACAAATGCTTCACATGCATTTTGCCCATCATTTGGGGGCACAGATGTTTTGATAAATGTGTATCTTCTGTGATCACATGGTTATAACATGTAAGGACCAATATCCACCTTGTAAAGTTAACAGTAAAATGGCTGGAAGAGCATAACATAGCCAGCAGGAAGGACTGTGAGACTGTCTGCCTTTTCACAGCTAAGTCTTAGGAGTAACTTGGTACAGACGAGCATGAGAGCAGAATTAGATCCGGTATAAGCACTGGTGTGTTGCATAGGACAACTGTCATTTTCCTTTTTTCATTCTGCCCTATATATATAATGAAAAACTGTGAGGGAACTACTCTTTTCTCAGGGCCAATTGTTGATCGCCAGGAAGGGTGATTCAGCATTTCATCATCAGTAATAAAAGCAAAAAGCCGCAGAAGTCAATAATGGTTTGGGCACATGTAATTGAAAAGAAACTGTAACTGAAAAAATCCTCACAGCACACTAATCCAAGTGCAACTATGCAGGAAATAGAAACCAAACAAACAGACATGTGTTCTTCTAAGAAATCCTGTGTTTGGTAGGGAAAATACCCCAGAAAAGAGGATAGAAAGGATGGCTGCACATAATGAAATGTGGCTGAAAGGAGCAATAAGTGAGGACCAGGCACTGACCCCACTCCCTTGAAGTCCCTGGGGCACACCACACACTCAACCCCACTCAGTTCCTATCTCTCCAGCAGTCCCTGTAGGAAGGTGGGAAGGATCTCAGTTCCCTGTCCTAAAAGAAACACACAGCTGAAACATCTGAGCCTAGCTCATTGCAAAAACCCGTGGCTACCTCAGCCTGCCTTATCTGGCTTGAAAGTGGCCACTCCAGACACCCCTTCCTCTGCAAGTGGAACACAAGGCTTGGGTTTTGGCACCAACTTGATGAAACCTTCCCTGAAGTGCTTCTTTCTGAGGTAGCACTTTGCTGAATGAAACTGGCAGCATGTACATGGTGTTGACTATTCAAATAACCAGTGAGCTAAACGAGTACTTTCAGATATGGGATCTTTCTGACTAATATTTATCATGTCTAACTAATGAGGGCTGGTTAAAATATTAAGAGTGTTTAGTGGTTTATTACCTTGTTTCATACTCATCCTCACAGTAGATACAATGAACAGATACCTTGTTTACTCATTCTGTTTACACAGTCCTGTAGGGATAGAGTTGCTGCAGTGTCACTGCTTCTGTGTAGTTTAGGAAGTGTTATGGTTGGATGAATAAATGTGACTGTTCCTGCCTGGAAGCAAGTAGATTTGGGTCTGTCATTTAAGAGTAGGTCCTCACTGAAACTAATGCAGAACTACATTTGGCCTAGTGGGAGAATTCTGCTTCTTTAAAGCAAAATTTCTGCTGTAGCTCTCCTACCTGTGACACATAACTTTTCCACTAACAAAAAAGGAAAGCGCGGTCAAACTCGTGGCACCCTCACTGCCCCACTCAGGGGCATGCAAGGAGCCCTCCCTGCACCCTCTGAGCACTGGCCCACGATGGTGAGAGCAGCAGTCCCTCAGAGCAATTGTCAGTATTGTTTCGAGCATGTGTAATTGAAAAGAAACTACAACTGAAAAAATCCTCACAGCACAGTAATCCAGTGCAACTATGCAGGAAAAAGAAACCACACAAACAGGGATGTATTTGCCTGTGGGTGGGTGATGGCAAGGGTTAACCCTCTCACACATGCCTGGATGTCTTGGTTTGAAAGACAGGTATGGTCTAAGGAAAGGCAGGAGCCCTTTTTCTGCGATGCAGAGTGCAACCCCCCTCCCTTTTAATTATTTTAGGTCCAATTCAGACGCCTTCAGGCAGGAGATATGGGGATAAGAATAACAGTTCTTTACTGGTATCTAACAAGGCAGAAAACAACAACAGCTATAAAAATTGGCAACAGAACAGTCTAGCTCCGCTCCAGTCCCTTCTGGCCGCAGGCCGTCTCCCTGTGCTGTTACCGGTGCTGTGGGGGCAGGGCAGGTCCCGCATGGTTCAAGAGGGCTGGGTGATGGCGGCCACGGCCCAGGGGTGAGAGGGGATGGGGAAAGTGACTCCCCCCTCACGGTGTCGGTCGTGGTGCTCAGCAGAGTGTCCGGAGGTAGTAGGGTGAGATGGGAGAGCAGCAGAGCGATGTCCAAAGGCAGGGAGCGTGGATCTCAGTGCTGGGATGGCAGGGGAAGATGCCAGAGCGGAGCCCAGGTTGTCTTCCCACTCCATGAGCCAAGCGAGAGAGAGTCCCCCGCTCCAGACCCCCCGTCCCACCTTTCCTTTTCCGGTTCCCTCCCCTCCCCCTCCAGCCACCCCCCTTCGAGAGAACATTATCTGTCGTTTCAAGGTGTAGCCACAATTACTTAGCATAACAATGGGAGAAAATTCCACTGAAAGAAAAGGGAATAATTCAACCTCCAACACTGGAGCTACCTCTCACCCACAAAACCTGGGCCTCCACTGATGGTCCAGCTCCCCAGAGCTGCTCCAAAGCCTGGGTGCTCCTTCAGTGGCTCCCTCAGCCATGCACAGCCATGCCGAGACCTTTCAAAGGGGTTTTGCTTGGTGTTCGTGGCGCAGAGATACTGTTGGTCAGATCAGCATATAGCAGAGCATAATCCAATATATATCTAAAGGTAGCAACAGCCTGGGAAAGAGCCTGGGGGACAAATTCCTAAAATTGAGAGGCTGTAAAAAAAATGGGTGTGCCAATGTGCATTTTTAAAAGTAGGTAAGGCAAAGAATGTTGTCAATATTTGCTCTACTGCAACTGACCCCATCAGTTCTTTCAGGTCACTTGTTTAAATGGATGGAAACTATTGATTTTGTCTAACTCAATCTTTCCTGTGTATTTCACAGGGACAAATGCTAAGCACGGACTGCGCTGTAAGGCTTGTAAGATGAGCATCCACCACAAGTGTGCAGACAGTATCAGACAGCAGCGTTGCATGGGCAAGCTGGTAAGTGAGCAGGACAGGCCAGCTTGTGCTAGAGCCACTTCTTTTGTGTGCCTGAGCCCCAGGTGTGCATTTAGCTTCTGCATTAGCAGAACCCACACCAGATCACTTCAGTGAGGTGGGAAAAGTGAAGTCAGGTGGTGCCCTGTTGTCAACTTGGGCAATTGCTGCTGCTGCACAAGAATGCAGACAAAATCAAATCACAAATCTGGTCTGCTTTGTGGATGTTAAAATACAGTTACAGAATAAAAATTTAGCTAGCTAACAGAATTAATTGCCTTGATTTCAACTTTTCTTGCTGTAGTGTAAACCTCTCAAACAATGCTATAAATTAATCATAGTATTTCAGTAGGGTTTAACAAATCTTTCAAAATATGTTTTATTGTTTTCTCCACTGTTAGGGCTTGAATAAAAAAAAAGTAATTCACGTTAAAAAGAAAACCAAAGGATATTTCACAGTAAGACACTACAGAGTTTGAAGCAATCTCTCATCAGGAGAGGCTGGGAAGAGCCTGTCTCTGTATGGACACAGCACTTTAGTGCCTGGGTTGCCTTCTGAGCAGCAAAATCTCATGACTGTCAAAGGCAGTACACTGTGTCTTAGAGAATTCTAACCCACCTTGTTGACTGTTAAGGGAATATGGTTCCTTTTGGTTACTTTTGGGAAAAGAACTTGGAAAAATGCCAATTGGAATATGAAAAGTGAATACATAGATTCATGTTTCAGATGTTCTCAGATTTGTTGCAACTTGAAGGCGCTTAAGACAGCTATAAGGTAAAACCTAACACTTTTACTGTGTTAAGTGATGGGAAAATGCAAGCACTGACTTCAAAAGCTCTACAAACCCCACCTTTCACTGGAAAGATCTTTTCTGTCTAAGAATGTTTACTGAAAACTATTGTTGTTTATATCGCTGAGGCCAGTCTTTGTGTATCTAAACCATGATCATAGTTCCAGTATGAGGCATTCTGGTATAGGAATGTGGTCTGTGAAGAGCTGAATGACAAGCTCTGGACAAGGCAAATATTATTTCATGTTAATTGATTCATGCATTTCTTGATTCCAGCCTCAGCTCTTGTGGTTACTAGCTTACAAAAACAAAAAAAATAGAGATTAAATTTACAGCAAAGTCATAGGAGTTTTGTGAGTTCATGCTGATGCTCTGTCTGAATCTAGCTTGGGGGTAAACAAAGGCTGAAGAATCTGGAATTTATTCCTATAAGACTCCAAGATTATCAATCCTCTCAGTCTTTTTCAATCTTTTCTGCAGCTCATTACCTGAAGAACTAGTTGTCTATCAGATTTTGATGTACACTGAACAGACGATATGGAAAATATGCACATCTCTGCAAATCTTCCTCACTTCTCACTGTGACTAGAAGTTCTCACCGCCTGCAGACATTAGAAATTGGAGAGACCATTCGTGAAATTCCAATGACTTGGAGGCATTCATTTTGAGTACTAAGCATTTGCCTGAATCGAGATACATTTTTTAGAATGATATAGGCACCATTATTTGCCATATTATGGTATTCTTTAATATAGCTTGAGTTGTTATGATGCATTTCTCTACTGGACACTGTGGGAATATCTGGGAGAGTTTTTGGACCTTACAAGAAAAAGGGAAAAAACAAACCAAAACAAAACAGTGAAGCTGCAGTCAGTCAGCAGTAAACGTTAGAAAAACCTATAGAAAGGTTCTAAATTCCTTGGGTTTGACATGTGCATATGTAGGAACATGAGGATTTGGAGTTAGAATGGGGAAAGATAGTCTCATATTTAACAAATACAACACAATGCAAATTCACATTATGTAAGAAGACAGGGAGAGGGAAACTTCCCAGAACCTCTAATGATTCAGCACTTCTGCTGCAATTAATTAGTGCTGCTTTTGTGTAAAACAAAAGAAAAAGGAAAGCTGAAAATGACCCCCTTCTTCCACATAAATATAAGAAATTGGATTTTTCTAGGACAAAAATCAAATAAACATCTAATCTCTAAACCTCACAGTTTGAACAACAGGAGGCAAATTTCCAGCCTCACCACAATGTTCCACCATTAACCAAAGAACTGAGGCTATTTCTACTTCATCAATCAAGGCAAGCAATGCCTTGATTCACTTGTTTTTGCTTTTTCTTCCTCCAGCCAAAGGGATTTCGACGGTACTACAGCTCACCACTACTCATTCATGAACAGTTTGGCTGCATCAAAGAAGTGATGCCTATTGGTAGGTGTTGACTGCTTTTCCATTCAGTCTTCCTTTGGCAATCCTCTGCAACAGCAGTGGCAGACTCCCAGCCATAGTATTTACCCTCAACAGCTGTCCAGCTCCTTTCAGTGACTGGATGCCCTTCTGCCATCTCAGGAAAGGACCACTTCAAAGATATGAAGCTGGAAGAGGAGAGGGTGTGCTCATTGTGTGTTTCACTCAAAACCCTGTATGCATACCTCTTAGCAATTACACTGTTTATGATAACAACTACCTGAAATCAAGGTTGGTAGCTTAGAAGTGAAGACATACTGAAATATTGAGATGAGGATCTGAACTAGGAAGAAACAGATAAAAGACAGGGCGATCAAAACAGCAGGGGGTACTCAAATCACTGGTCTGGCTTCTGAGGGGTGCTGCTAGCTTCCTGTTCTTTTTCATCCATATTTTTTACTTTCCTTATATTTTTCCCTATTGATCCTGTCTACACATTGTCTGAGTACTTAAAAGGCCACTTTTTTCTCACTGTAATGCCAAATTTCTGAAAAGTAACATTTTGAAATGAAGAAGTTAAGTTTATTCTGGAAAATACTTTTCTCGACTAGTACTCTAACCAGTCAGACCTGGAAGTGCAAAAAATCAAAGCTAAAACTAGGCAGTCAGTTTAAAACTGCTTGTCTGATCACATTTGCATTGTTACTGTCAGCAGTTTTAAAAAATTTAATTACAAGGATTTCATCTAAGTTTCTCTTTCTAAAAAACACCCATCATTTTAATCAGAAGTAATAGAAACATTTTGAATAAACTCTGGCTAAAAAATGAGGTGTGCTTTGCTGTAATCAAAATCCGAAATCTGTTCTATTTTCTCAGTACTTTGCCTAAAATTTCCCTCCTTCTACATAGTGCTACAAATGTGCCTTATTCCACATGCCTGCAGCCTAGTGTCACAAGGGAGGTTGAGCTCCAAGAATGCAATATGTAGAAGAGAGTTTAAACTGAATTTGCTTGTTCCCAGTGAAGACATCCATTTCTCTTCCATGGGAGATGATTTTTGTGGCTATCTGTGAGGGAAAGCTACTGTTGAGAGCAATCCAAGAAGTTACTGATAAAGACAAACGTGGATTAGAACGTCTTGGTACTTTGTGTTTCCTTACCTCCATGTAGGTAGCATCAGTGATGATTAGGGAAGGAGAATAGCAGGTGACAAGAGACAAGGCAATGGCCAAGAATGGAAAAGCCAGTATGAGAGGAGGACGATCTTTATGGGACTAGAGAAGCAGCAGAAAATTGATAGCAATTCCATTAAGTTCAACACTCACTTTTTATCAGGAGAGTCCCTCAAATAGTTTCTAAGCATACAGCTCAACCTCTTGGAGGAGGCAGGTGTTAATCCTGTTAAGCAGGAGCATGACCAGAAAAATCCTCAAGATATTGCTTGATGCATGTTTTGCTCCTTCTGTTGCAGCCTGTGGAAATAAGGTTGACCCTGTGTATGAAACTCTCCGCTTTGGGACTTCTTTAGCACAGAAAACCAAAAAGGGAAGTTCTGGAAGTGGGTCTGACTCTCCCAACAGAAACTCTGTAAGTTTCCCACATCTTTCTTCCGTTTTCTTTCTGGAGGAGCAACAGATATTCATTCACATAAGCTTGTGTCAGAGTTCACAAAACTTGTATTTCAAACTGTAAAAAGACCTAAAATCTTACTCTTAGCTTCCATATTGAGACCAGAAAACTTGTTATCTTTGCCAATTCAAGTTTTATATATCTTTTAGATGACTCTTACGAAAAAGAGAGAAATGCTAATTAAATTAGTAAACTGTTTTTATCAGATTGGGAAAGGAAGTATTAATCTTTTTATTTTACATATCTATATAGAAGTGTAAAAGAGATACTGAACTGTCAGGCTGTAGTAGATGTATAGTCCCTGTTGTTGATGATGGCCATTTGCCCCTCATACAAATGATAATGATGAGTTGGTGTCTTCAGAACCTTGATTGAAAAGTATATGACCCCAGTACAAGCCCAGACAAAATTAAGACACTACTTCTGCAACAAAGCAAGGGACTGGGACCTCCACCCCTGTCTAGTGCAGAATCGTGAGGGAGACATTACAGACTGGGCTTGTCTTTCCAAACTCCAATATAGACAGGTGTGATTAGGTTGTTGTATCCAGACAGGGAAGTTTTAGCCTTAATGCTAATATTTTTCATTCACTCTCTCAAATCATGAAAGTCATTTTCTTAAGGACCATGGCAGAAGAGGTAGAGAGCAAAGGAAGTGATAGCTCCTTTGGCCCTGCCTTTGCTATATCTATACCTTTTTCAACAGTAACAATTGCCAGTTTCTTCCTTACAGAAGTGGTTATTTATCCTAGTAGATGGATCCACAAGATCAGGAGCTCCTTCATGGTGTTGAAAGAATATTTCCTACCCTCTCAGCCTCTCATAAACAGGCGCTTACACGTATGTTTGAGGTTCTCTTCCATTCCCAAGAGATCCTCCCCACTCCACCCCTCCCTCCTCAAAAAAAAAAAAATTTAATTCACACCTGAATCCACTGGAGGCTAAAGCTGATTGTCATCTCTAAAAATCAGACTCATTATCTGGCAATCTCTTCTGCACACACCTCATAAGACAAATCGCTGAGCACAGAGACATAATGAGAGTTGGTCTGCAGGTCTCAAAGCAAATACTTATATGCTTAATATTAAGTCATGCTAATATCTGCATATGTTTGGTACAACATTTCCCTGGCATTTAAATACATGCTCACTCACACGGCTGACTTGCAATCTCAGGTGGTATAGGTGGACTCTAAACAGGCATCAATTCATGTCAGACGGGAAAGAGGACAAACTAATTTAAGCAAGAACTAAGTGAAGCCTGCAAGGGATTTATTAAGGGACATGTCTTCTATCCGCCCCCATTTGTGCCTTAGAAAGGAATTTGCTTACTCCCTTTTTTCTTTTTTAACTCAAAGTGACTCTACTTTCTGTCACATTATTACATTTCTTTCTTTCAATTATTTAATATCCTTTGAAACAAAATTTCTACAAATGTAATTATTGCTTTCTAAATCAATAAAGTTTATGTTGAATTATAAATGAAAACTCAAGCATAGAAATCACTAATGCTGTGTCAGCTTCCTCTAGGGAGGTGTAGGTGTAGAGTTAGGAACGCAAGTTCATTACAGGAAGTTCTCCAGGGTATTGAAGCTGAGAGGGAATGTAACATGTCAGCATACAGAAAATAGAAAACATTAGAGAATTGAATAAGCAGACCTAAGAAACCATAAATTTTTCCAGCACAGCTTTTATGGATTGAGACAAGGATAAAAAACAGGGTCGACACAACCCTGAACGAAATGGTGGAGCGGGGACCTTAAAAACTGATGTGTGGCCTGGGAGTAGGTCCTGACCAGTGATTGCAACAGGGATGTGGCACAGAGCCCTTAGAAGCACGTGTAGTTAGTGGGACTAACTCAGAGGGATTATGACCTTTCTCCAGTGATCCTCACTTCTGAGCTGCTCTGCTCCTCTGCAGCAGAAGCAGCAATGCAGCTGTATGGTTGTGCTGAGTCCCAGCCCTGGGATATGGAATGTGCTTCAAGGTTCTGCCATGTCACCAAACTAGGGATGCCAGGGACATGGGGACACCTGGGATACTACTTCCCTTTGCAGGTGATATGCAAGCTGTCCAAGGCCTTGCTCGGAGTCAGCACAGTAGAGCTGCTCCTGCTGAAGGTTAAAAGTAAAGGTGACAGGCCTAGGAGCTGTACCTTGCCCCTACAGCCGTGAAGCTTTCATGCTGCATGCAGTTCATGTCTCTGCAGAAAGTAGAGACAGCCACCTTCCTCTAAACTAGCCAAAGTATTTTTAACATGACTGAGCTGTGTGGATGTATTTACTGAGTTTTCTGCCCAGATTTTGCATTTCCCATAAAAGAAAGTATCCATATGCTACAGGTTTACTACCTACTACTTGCTCCAAAACTATTTCTGTAACCCACATTTATACAAAAAGTCATTTGAGGTGATGTAAATGTGAATCTAGTTCGTGTTATTTTTTTGTGGATCAGCTGCTCTCAAAATCAGCTTTGCACCTCTATAATTTCTATTAGACCATTTGTCATGTAGTCATTCAGTGAAAAATCATTAAAGGTAAATGAGGTTGCCTCAGAAGGTTTTGGGTGAGGTATATACTGAAGAGACAGTCACTTCACATCCCATATGCATTAAAACTTAATAAAATAACATTAATTGCTAATCAGCAATAATGGAGCTAGTCTGTGAAAACTGAGGAACATGTTGTAGCAATGAACTGAAAAATAGCTGGTAGTTAGTGTTTCAACAAAGCCAGTCTTTCTCTTCTTGACTCAGCAACCGGAATCCATGGATATGCTCTACACTGGATCTGTGTAAACTTTGCTATTGCAGTGCATCCTTGTCCTCAGCATCTTTGGGCAAGATGCAAGACGAACATGACCTGCTGTGAAAGGCGGAGTCTAAAAATAAGAAGCAACAGAGCAGCAAATTATATATTCTTAAAATAGCAAGGGAGACAAGATAGCCACACCTGTGACACAAATCTACTTTCAACCCCTTTGTTCATTGGTTTCCTTCATGGAGAAATAGCTAGGAAAGTACTAGATAGGAGAAATAAAATTGTGAAAGTACTTCCTAAAAAACGTTTTGCTGTCAACACTAGTAAAAGGGAAAAAAACTAGCATGTAAAATCTATAAAGCAATTCAGGTTCTGCTCCCTAAACAAAAACAGGAATGTTCCTGTGATTCAGGCACAGGACTGCAAAGCAATAGAGCAAGCTGTGTGTACAGTATAATTGTAAAATGTCATACAATAACATTAAATCCTTCTTGTGACTTAAAATTTGTGAGCTAGAAACAAATATAACTTAGGAACAGTGTAAGTATTTACATTTATTCAGATTAGAGAAAGCATCTGACTCATGTTCAATCTTTGGGTTTTTTCTGGTTATCAAATATGTAGAGAGTTCAACGACTAAAGTGTTATTAAGGTCAGACTCACACAGAGTTGTTTGGAGCAGCTCCTCATTCCTGTTGGGCTATACAATGAGAAGCTGACCATCCACCCAAGGAATCTGGTGCTGTATTCAAAGTATACTTCTGAGACTTGAGATTATGTCATCCCACATTTTCTTATACCCTGGAACACTGGCTCCCTAATCATGACTGACATTAATATGATACAAAGAAGGAATCATAGTAATTCTAAAAGCAACAGTTAGGTTTCAATTTCCCTAACCATACTGGCTGAAATGACTGTTTAAAAAGAAAATGAGGGCAGATATTTAAAGATTGACTTCATCCACTCCATTGCACTCTAGTTCTTTCTTTTACAGCATTTTAGCAGATTTTAAATGACCCTTATATTACAGTTATTTTACTGAATAATGTATTCAGGGCTGATACATTAAAACCATGTAGTTTCAACTGATGTTCAGTCTCCCTGGATGATAGCTATTTAGTATACATGCAGAAGCTGTAAATTCCCTCATACCCTTTCTGTTTTGTACAGCGAAGCACATTGCTTCATATAATCCTTTGTTCCTTAACTTTGACTTTATTTTACACTGCAGAAATCTTTTGTGCTCCAGACTCCAGACTTGGTCTGGAATTTTTTTCTGGGATTACACTACTCCTTGTGCAGTAGGTATGTGTTGTACATCACCAGATCAAATTTTTCCTTTCATCCCATTAGGCTGATTCTGCTCTGCTGTGACACCACTCAAGTACTGCATTTCCCAAAGACTCCTGCTGTGGTTTTATTTCACTTCATCAGTCCCTTTTTCTGGCTTATCCTGTCTCATTTGCTGTTTCTGTTCCTGCAGACAGCTGACTTGGTGGAAGTTCCAGAGGAAGGCAATAGTTCTGCGGGCACCCTTGACATAAGCAGAAAACGCAGCAACAGTGGTGAGTGCCCTCCAGCCAGGACAGCACCTTAAGGTTTAAAGGCCCATGGACAGCTTGTTTCAGATGAGGGGTTATGGCATGTCCAGGTTTTAGCAGTGTTCTCGTTTTCAAAGCAGGAGGTGTGTTGGTGCAAGAATTTAGGGAATGTTTTTTGCCATTCAGATGAAATTGAAGCCACCACATTCCTTAATGTGGTGTGTCCAAAACTGCAGCTAGACAAGGTTCAGGTCCATTCCCTATGTCCTATCTTTACCTCATGATCATGACTGTAGACTTAACATGCTTCATTTCCACATAGCTAAGTGAAACAAAAAAAACCCTTTATTTTCCATATGTTTGATTTTTTCACATGATTTTGTATATCATAACCTCTTTGGGACAGAAGACGAATCGTAAAATATCTTTGTGTCCGTAAAATACACAGCACAGTGAATTTTGATTATAATTGCAGCTTCTCAGTACAATTGTAGTATGTGCCAAGTAATATTAATGGCCCAATTCCTTCATTTGATTTGCAGTATGAAAGTAATGTTTTTTCACAGCGTTGGCTTGATGAGATTTGAAAACCAGCATAGCATCAAGAGTTTAGTAATGAAATCTCTGCCACTAAGAGTTGGTGTTTGTGACCCTGTTCTTTAATTCAGTCATGGTGGTGGAAGTCATAAACAAAAAGAGTTATTGCTTAGCATAAGTTCAGGCCCAAACCATCAGGGCAACTTCTTTAATAGCAACCAAAATCTGCTTTACTGAATCTCACAAGATGTACAGAACAAAAACCAACCACACTGAGCATAACTTTTTTCTTCATAGTACCCCCAGTGCTCCTCACATACTGCTACCAATTCATGTAGGTGAAAGGCCAGCTTCAGCTGTCTGTTTCTGTATTATGCCACCTCCTTATTCCTTTCCTCCCCTCTTGGTCCTATCATCTCTCCTTGCTGTGTTCAATCATTTCCTTTCTCTCATTTTGTGAACATCTCATCCATATTATCTGAATTCTCTTGAAAATGTTGTTAATTTTTCTGTCTTGCAAGTGAAAGTTGACCTGACCTGGTTAAAGATAGAGAATTCATCCTGCACCACAATGTTTAATCCTGCCCACCTGAGATTAAATAGACCCTTTTTGAATTTTCAGATAACTTTTTATTTATTTGCAAGTCAACAGTTTCATTTCTGAAACCCAAAGAAACGTTTTTTCTCTGAGATCTGTATTCACTGAATGCACAGAAAAGCATTCAATGAACTTATTTAAAGAGATTAGTTTAAATACTCAGCATGTGTCAAACCTCTAAATAACTTCCATGGCACATTAATGATTCCTTTGATCAGCTCAGTACTGGCTTTTTTACAATCCATCCTTTAGAGGCTCAGAGTATAAATTATGCATCAGTCTCTCCAAAAATTTCCTCTTGGTAGATTTTTAACAAAACTGACTGCACTGTTTGCACAAGCTATGGAAATGGTAAAATCCTTTTCAGAGTGTAAAACCCCTTCTTTTTTTTCTCTGCTACTGCTAGGGCAAACAAATATGAAAATAGATGGATTTCTGTTGTGTGGAGATATGAACATCTATGGCTTTCAGATTCAAGTGCTTCCTATTAGCATCCAGAGACCACAAACTAAACATAGATTAAAAATTTAAGTATATTCCAATTATTTTTAGGAAGTGACTCATGACACCTTTTCCCTCAGTTGTCCACTGGCTCTTTATCAGAAAGTTTCCCATTAATGCCTGGATGACTCAGGTCCGTTCTGGTTGAGTTTGTGTTGTTTGTTTGTTTTCCTATTAAAATTCTGTTCTGCAAATAAGTATTTAGGAAAATGTACACGATGCTCTTTGATAACGGGAAACTGCAGAAAAGACAGCTTCCAGAAGGGTAAAAAGATCCAGCACGTGTGGCCCTGTAATTTTCCCTGTAGAACTCCTATGACAACAACTTCAAGGGGAGATTCTTTCATTCAGGCCCTGGCATAAGTCCTATGAAGCAAAGCTTCCCAGTTTACAACTGTGAGATGTCTTACCTAATTTCCAGACCTTCAACCTCATCTAAGCCAGTTATACTCTTTTACTACTGTAAACTGCTCTCTGTAAAGGAAGTCCCAAAAGCAAAAATGTACTTTAGGTGACATTTATAAGTCTGCTATCAACAGAGTTTTGAGCACTTTCCCCTTGAATCTAATATGGGATGTCCTCCCTGCAAACCCAATTTTAGTGAGCACTTCTCAGCCAACACAAGGATACAGTTCATCTTCCTCCCCATGTAGTAGGTCAGCTCCACAGTTCATGAGGCTTTACATTATTAACTTGTCTTATTTTCTGTCACCAAACAGAATTACTCCAGACATGATGTTTAAATACTTTTACTTCATCTGGTGAATGACTTTTTGCAAGTCCAAAAGGCTCCTGGTTACCCAACTCAGTATTCACCAGAAAATCTTTAATTTTCGTCCTAACTCCTGTTCCTCTGAACATGGAAAACAAAGCATAGTGATTTGAGTAAACACTGCCAAACTGTAATAGCACATTTTAAACCCCTTCATACAGATGCCAGACATATATGTACCCCTATATTGATGGTACAGGAAATCAGGTTTATTTCTAAGATTTTCCTTCTGATAGTCTGCAGGGTCAGAGTCCCTTTGCAACAGGACTTGGTGAGGAGCATATTGAGGCCCAGGTCCACTGCAGTCAGGACACTCAGACACAATTAGGGGCATTTTCACAATAAGTGTAGCAGGTATCAGCTCACATGCTCCCTTCACATTGACAGATTGAACTTTATGACTACAACATTGCCTTACATTTTGTCAGAGGTATGTGTTCATGAATGCCTGTCACTTTGTACAAAATCTTTCTCATGCATGTTGTGGCTGCCGTTTTGTCTTTTGTCTGTTACAAGAACACTGTCATGTTTTTCAATATCTAAGTACAGCTCTCTAATATCAAAGAATCTTACTATTTCCCTCATGAAGCTTCTCCACACACTCTGTTAGGTTGTCAACTACCATGTAGATTAGTCCCAGAAATATATGTTAATGAAAGAAAGGATGAGCAGGTGAAAGAACAGAGGAGAAAAATTCAGTGGTGTGGTGTTCCCTGGACCTTTTTCCCCCTAAATGCATGCAACTGTATGACTGAGAAACAAAAAGAAAAACTCCCCAAGTCACCTGATACTACCACTTTGGAGATTTCCAAATGGTTAAACACTACAAAGCCGAGCTTCTGCTCAAAACTCCTACAGAAGTAAATGGTAGGAGAAGACACTGATGGTTGTAGCTGCTCAGAGACTCCAGCTATTTAAAAAAAAAATATTCAGAGTTTATCCAGAAGCAAACACTTAATTCTTAAGGGGCAATTCTTAAAATTTGAAGGGCAAATTCAGTCCAAATGATTAAGCCACTGCATTTTTTCTAGGGAGATAACTGAGGACAAGTATCAGTCAGCTCATGAATCAATTATGATAAAGGGTAACTGATTACTTGTTAGGTATGTCAGGTGCTGTGACTGTTGTCTTATTCTATGAGTTTCGATTTAATAACTTAAAAGCAAATGTTTACATCTACAGGCCTGTGTCTGAGTTTACCCACCCTGATTTGAAAGCAATTCAGGTACCTCCTTTAAATTCAGAGAGAGTAGTGTATCCAGTGCACCCTAGACATGGACTAGAGGAGAGAGGGACCAAAGAAGGCTATCAAACACTTAGACATCAAAGAAGGGAAGGAAGGGGTTTTGCATGCAAACTTTCCCAGTATTGCTCATTTATGATCATCTGCTCTTCCAGGTGCTTTAAAATGGAAATACTGCTTATCCTAAACATGAAAATACAGTACTCAATGTGAGAAAAAGTCTGCTGGACTTTAAATAGTAATGCACTTACAATACCTAGGTTCTGTTCGTAGTCCTATACTTGTCTGTACTTCATCTGATCAAAATGATTCATTTGTTACACTTGTAAATTCTGGAGGACAGATTGTGTCACATGCCAACAGCATCTGTGGTTTTTTTGGGAGTGTAGAAGGGTTCAGAGGAGACCACAAGGAATCAAAGAAAATAAGGGAGAAAGGGAAGAGATCAACAAAATCCCGGTGATCCTGTTAAGATGAAGAGTCTGAAGCTGCTCCTAAAATGTCATATGTTTTCTTTATTTCAGTGTTTACATACTCTGAAAATTGCACAGAACACTTTGGAGAAGAACCAAAAAGTATACATTCCCTGGTATGAGCATAAATTTTGTGATGATGCAATGGTAATGGGAAGTCATGTAAAACTCTAGTTTTTATAGCTGTCTAAGGACCTTGAGTAGCTCTGATGGGTTGCAGATATCTATCGTGTTCTTACACCATTTCTGGGACGTTGGCCATGACTAAAGCAATATACATTACTGGATAGCTTTTTAGTTTATCCTTTGTCATCACTCTATGTTTCTCTGCTTATTGCAAATTGATTTGGGAGTACAAAAGATCCAGTGTGCAGGTCATGCAATTACAACAGAATTGTCAATGTAAATGTAAAAATCACAGATTTTATTTTGAAAGTTACTTAGTGTTTGTTTTAGCTGCTTTTTCTTCCCTCCCTCCCCCACCCCGATTAGCAGTAGAAAAAATAAGAAGAGAGAGTAGCCAGTCTTCTCTGTTGAAAACCCAGCACAAAAAGCTTTCACACATTAAAATCACTTTAAGAAAGTGATTTTCCTGGTCTAAATTTGGACCTGTGCACTGTACAATTCTAGTTCCATCCATAATGAGGACTGTAGACTAGACACCTTATATAATGCCAGTAATACACTACTCAGCTCATAAGAGCTGTCATACATACTAAAGAGAGAAAAAAGGCACACTCATTTTTAAGATCTTGTCCTAAAGACCAGCCAGTGCAAATTTCTGCTTGTGTTCTTTGGAAGCCTAGAATTTGATCTTGGAGTTCAAATACTCTTCTTTCTAAATTAAGATAGTTACTGCCTTAATGAGAGATGATTCTGGCTAATTTATTGTAAGATCAGGTTCTGGTTCCTCTGTCTCTAACAGAGTGAACCAAATTACTTTATGGAGCAGATACTTAAATTTTGTCTTTCTCTTTTTTCTTAAAGGGACCATTTTATAAAAGCATGTTACATGTGAACACCTATGTTGCCTTGTACAAATTTGTACCACAAGAAAATGAAGACTTGGAGATGAGGTAAACTTCAAAATATTTGTTAGTCGATTTGACACATTTGCACTGATGGTCTTTTGGTTATGTATGACTTTGGGGAAGGGAGGGTTTCTTCTGACATTTTTAGTACACATTTTTATAGAGGTAACCATCTAGATACAAAGATGTTCTCACAATTAAAGAGAACAGATGACCAATTTTTTTGGCAAGCATACAGTAGATTAAAAGTTTCAAAAACACTTACATCACTTTAGTGGCGGGGTGGCTTTCAGCTGTAAAATGTTCTCAGTTCCTTTGTTTTTCAACCAGAAGTTTGCAGCTAGGAATTATCCACCAGCTCTCATACTAATGCTACAAATTCTACAGTCCTGTTTGATCCGCCCTCTTAATTCAGTTGTGTCTGAAAAAAGAGAATGGTGTCTAGCTACTGGATGGCAGTGTTTTCACATGAGAACTTATCCAAATAACCTTGTTAATTGCTATTTTTAGCACTTACTTCCTCAGTTCTGCATCAGTTGCTTGCATTACAAGGTCTAATCCAAGCCCATTAAAGGAAAAGGACAGCTTTTGTTTCACAGAAATTATTTTGTTCATGCTGCTCACATTTTGCATGGTCTTACTAGAGTGCTTACTGTGAAACATGTCACCTGTCTTCAAAGGCATACCTATATCAAAACAATCACCCATGTGCCACAGAATTTAGGGAATTTGACAGAGAAATCCCCCTCTCCTCAGTATGTCCAACACTGAAAACCTTTTTCCTGCTCCCAGCTGTGCCTTCTTACTGCTCTGGAGCTAAAGGATGGGAAGTAACACAGAAATTACAAGTTTTCCTATCATTCTGCTTTACTGACATTTCCTGATCATTATTTTAGGAATGTGAGCTCTTCAGGAAATAACCACAGTATATGGGAACCTTTACTAGAAGTTGCCAGCTATTCTGCTTGAAAGATTCCACTTTGCATCCTGCTCTTTAGGAGTGTATTCCATCTTGTTCATTTCTTCCATGACATAGAACATCTCTCAGACAAGCCTGCACTAGACTACCATCCTCATCCAGACACAGAAATCCAGAAAACACATCAACCTTCAAAATCCTCCTGTTCCACATTTTAGGGGGAAAAGCAGCCTGTGGTCTGAAACATACTCTTTCAGGGGAGATCAGGCTCTTTGCAGGAAACAGGAATACTAGGTTTTAGACTAGTGGTACTCAACCACAGCAGAGCTGTTTGTTCATTGGTCAGAAATTCATTAATATACGTGTTAACATTGGTCCATAAGGGATGCCCAATAGCTGGTAATGTTGTTTTGTTACTGTAGAGCCAGGCAGGATCCAACTCAGTTGCATGAATTCCCATCTAGCATAGCTGAGGTATTGGAGGTGGGTTCAGCAGAGCAATGTTGTCAAGACTGACAAGCACTGTCCTGGGAATCCAAGATGGGAACCAGCCAGGCACTGATCAGCTCCATCATAACAAAGGCAAATAGCAGAGGAAGGACCTGAGCTGAGAGGAAGTGTTAGGACAGATTTCCGCAGTTCCCAGCTCATCTCTGAGAGGATACAGTGAGTGGCAGATTACTGCAGTGAAGATGTGCAGCCCTGATTTCAGCTGAAATTATAATTTACCACACCCTGAATTTCTTCCCTAACAACAGGAGCAATCAGTCAGATTTTCCAGTGCTCTGGGATAAATAAAATAGGACATTGCAGTAATACATTTATTCTAAGAGATGGCCTTATATTACAGGAGAGAATCCTGAAGGCAAGCAACCCCATGTTTCAGATGCTGCAGAGAATGGAATGGAATGGAATGGAATGGAATGGAATGGAATGGAATGGAATAGAATAGAATAGAATAGAATAGAATAGAATAGAATAGAATAGAATAGAATAGAATAGAATAGAATAGAATAGAATAGAATAGTTAGAAGGGACCTACATGAGTGCCTATCTTGCCACCTCCTGAAATCTAGATCACTGAGATAGAGCAGACAACTTATCCAGGGTTGTGATTTACAGAAGAAAAATGTAAGACCTGACTGATTTCAACCAGTAGTAAGAACCAAGTGGGTTACCCCTTATCAAGGATTAGCAGCCTAAATCTAGGCTGCAAGAAATACAGGTCCAGATAGGATTTCTATTTTGAATCCTTTCTGGAGGTTAAAGACACCTATATTAGCTCTCTTCTAGGAAAAAAAAAACAACAAAATCAGCAGGCCTTCAACCTAAAATTCTCTGTGCTCAGACAAGTGACAGAGAGAGACTTTAGGTTCAGTTGCCATCTTTCTCTGACAGCCAACTAAATTTATATTTTCTGGGTTATTTTTCTAACAAGCAGGCTGAAGAGTACTGTGTGGACAAGGCTTTCTAAATCCTTCTTATTTAAAGTTTTTTACCTTTCAGTGTAAGGGGCTCAATGCTGTTTGCCCAGTTTATTCACTTTGAAGTTATGGGTTCCCTTAAAACCTCTTTGAGCGTTTAATATTAAATATTAACTGTAGAAAAGGTCTCAGATATTCTTTCCCATTGAAAAAAAATCTTTCACCACTGGGATACCAAGTTGTTAATTTTCTCCAGCTTCATTCCTCACCTCAGCAACATTTAATTATTCCAAATACATTGAAATAGTTTCTTGAGGAGGGCTTGACGAAAATCTTGTTTCAGATTGCGCAGTGTTAGAAGACTAAATGCCTGTTTCTCCAGTTGTCAGCAGCAATGATAACCACTTGGAAAGTGGACCAAAGAGGCCCACCACTGACAACACCTCCAGCTGCATCCTGGACATATCCACATTTTCTATGCATACTCTGAAAGAGCTTGCTAAATTGGACCTGTTTTCCATAACATAACAAAACAGATGCTCCAGGTGTGTTTGCAGGCTCTTGTGCTAATACCTCAGCAATACAGTGAGCCTAATGGGGAAAGATTAATAATTAGGGGTCAACAATTAATTTTATTAAGAACAACATACCACTATTATAATTACATAGGAATGTTGATGAAGTGTCACCAAGGAGGGGGGGAAGGTCAAATAACCGTTTAGCTACCTGCACAAAATCAGCTTAGAAAATTTTGCTATTACTGTTTCCAGCCCAATTATTCTCCAAGCTGTGCTTTGGAACTAGTCAACTGGATGCTGATACGTAGCAATCACAACTCAGCACCACACATTATATAGGTAAATATGTCCCATTCAAATAAAAAAGACATTCTTGGGCAGAATTATATTCCTGCTGACTAATTGCCTTTGTCAATAAAATAGAACTATTTTCCTGCTGCCTTCCTTCTGCAATCACAGCTTGAAAATATAGATAATGAAGTAGTGTGTCCCAACAGTGTGAAATGTCTTAAAATAAAGCAATAATGCCCTTAACAAAGAGGGCCTGTATTTTAAACAGTTCCTTAATAAGCAGGAAACAAAACTTCCAGTTCACAGATGTTGTCTCCAAATAAAGATCTAGCCCCAAGATACAGAGACACTCTTTCTACATAAACAAGTGTGACTGAGGAAAACCTTGCCACCTTATTGAGTCTACCTTCAGTGAGTCCTCAGACAAAATAAACATAGAAGGACCACCTTCCTATTAGAAGGGAATTGTGGAAGCTGATTCAACATGACAATTAAGAGTCATCTTACATACTATTCCTCTTCTAATTACAGGCCAGGGGATATGATCACACTTCTGGAAGACTCTAATGAAGACTGGTGGAAAGTATGTGCTAGTCAGTTTATATATTTTCTTTCCGAAACGAAAAATATCTTGTTTTCAATACTGAACTCTATTAAGGCTGCTACTGTTAACAATCTTCTACTATCAATATGTTTCCTTCATAGGGAAGAATTGATGACAGAACTGGATATTTTCCTGCTAACTTTGTTCAGAGAGTGCAACAAAATGAAAAGATTTACAGGTGTATCAGGACATTCATTGGCTGCAAGGAACAGGGACAGATAACTCTGAAAGAGAACCAGGTAAGATCCTCTATGATGGATCTTCACTGAACTAAAGCATCCAGCAGTCTTACCAATGACTGAAGGGAAAATTGTGCAAGATGAGGGCAGGCAATTTTTTTCACTGCAATTTTACAAGATTTATTATTCATATGGTAACAGTGTCTGGTAGCCAGCTAAGAGCAGTGTTTGCCTTGTACAAACAGATACTTGATGCCTAACATAGCCTGAATTTTCAGTCTCACAGACGTTCGTACTTAACATATACTTAACATATTTCTCACTCTTAATGACTTCAGAGGGATGAACACAGAATCTTAGCAGTAGACTTTGTGTGCCTGAGAAATGATCTGATTTTCTCCTCACTATTAGAGCTAATCTAATAAAAGATAATGCCTGCCTTCCCAGACCTTAACTTACCTAAAGATCTAAATACAGCCCATCGTCTTTGCTTCAACAAGAACAGAGTTAAGACAGCATCACACAAAGCTGTAAATCCTAAATGTAACACTTGTTTGCCAATTGCAAGGTGTATTTAATGGTTTTTTGTGTGTGTGTCACCACTTAAATACTCACTCTATAGACTGTAATATATTTTAAGGTATAAGTGCACCTGTGAACTTAAGTACACGGCATACTGTGAGGACTTGCAGGGTCCATTCACCCTGGTGTATTTTCAGCAGCTCCTTCTGCTTTGTGTCCTTCAGGTGGGTTCACTAGGCACAAGCCGTGACTCAAAACTTGCACTAAGGGACAGGTTGGTGGCATCAGCTCATCTAAATAGGATGATGACATGCTAAGGGTGATGCACAGCTTGAGTTCTCTGAAACCTGGATACAATAAAAAGGTACATTTTATTTCTTAATGTACCTTGCAAAGCCCAGTGTTCTTCCACTTCATTAGGTCTTTCCTTTCCTGTGGAAATTGTGTCACATCACCAGAAATGGTTTACCTTACAGGCTGAGCAGCCACTGATTTTAATGAAGTAGAGAAGAAGTCAGAACCAGTGTGGACTTCAGGGCTGTAGATTTTTCCATACAGAACTTCTTTAATGCTTCACTCCACTGGTAGATAAGATTAACTTACAGCTTGGCTGCTGCTGATTTGTAGCATAGCAAAACATGAAAGTCCTAACAATCCTTGGGCGCACACAGTTTTTCAAGGAAGGCACATAAATACAGTGACCAGAATATATTTTAACTGCCCCTGTACACATAGTACATTGGGCAGCTTTGCAGTTTCTAGAAAGTTTTACATACTTATTACCCAACATCTCGCTTAATTTTTTCTGTCTGTGCACACAGACAAAAGAAGAGTATTACCAGAGCAGAACAAGTGCTTTTGGAGTCTTTATGTTCTAAAATGAGCAATACACAACGGCAAAGGTAGGAAATGGTAGTGTTGGAGTATGGCATGCCAGCATGAGCGAATGGTCAAGATCTGCATCACTTCTCATTAGGGGGCGTACCAGATCATCTCTGTCAGCGTGGCTACTGCTGCAAGCAGTGAGAGCGCAGTTGTTTGCCTCAGTCCTCACAAAATCACGGTTTCCAAGTGGGCAGCTCTGGCAGCTTCATCTGAACACACGGACCTTCCTATTGTCCCTATTTCATAATAGCATCACAAAAGGGGCTCAGAGTCGGGGTGCCTCATTATCTCTGGCAAGGCAGGAGGTAAAGAAAGGGATGAATCTATCCTGTCTCTCTACTACCTCCTTTTATTAAAAAAACTTGTTCAGCTCTATCTCAAGCCCACACAAATGCTGAGGGTTATTATTAATGCTGTCAGGTGCTCACTCCGTATGGGAGAGGCTTCAGAGGAAGAAATATTTGTTGTGAAACAGGGGACGGAGATCAGACTGCACAAACACATGAATGCACAGACATGAGAGGAAAGGAGCATAGCAAAGAGATCCCATTCCACTCTCACACAGAATGGAAAAGGGGGACATTTATGTAGCTTGAAGGCCATTTTGGGTACTTCCCAGGTGGGACGGCCACAGTGAGGCCATGGACACTTACCTGCTTCTGCTGCCCCTCCATATCAGGCCAAATTTTTTGTATTTTTTTAATTAAACAAAAACTTCTGCCTTCACTGTGGAAAAACTCTTATTGTAAAAAACATTTTAATTGTTATTGTGAATATTTTACTTTAAATTTTTATTTGATATTTCCAAAGTCAAATTTCCTTTTTTATTTCTTCAGCTATATCTATTATTTTCTGTCCTTTATTTCTCCATTGTTTTCCGTGTAAAGCAGAAAGAGAGGTGCAATAGGAAAAGGCATAAAAAAAACAAGTCATTTGAATTGGACTTGTGGGAAAGCTTTGGCAGATTTTTTTTTGCTTGTCTTTTGTTCTGTTGGGAATTTCTGTGGGATGTCATCAGCCATGTTACCTGTCTCTGGGCACAGTGTTCAGAGTGCTGTGACTGCAATACATGTACTATGTGAAAAGCACTAACTTCCAGATTAGCAAACAGGGGTTTGCTGAACTACTGATTCCTGTCAAGTCTTACTTTAGCTAGAAAAACTCATTAACTGGTCTAATAAATTCCTGTGACTATAGTATGGCAAAGTTACTTCACTGAGTCACTTTCCATGTGGTCTAATGAGTACCGAACCATTCTGACAATGAAAGCAAGGATGATATACTAACAGAAAAACTTATCCAGTGACAATATGAATTTTCTTTACATTGCTTGATATCTTTCATGGTTTATCCTTCAGGTCTCTGTCCCCTCATGTCCCATATGAATGTTTCTGGGTAGAGGGTCTACTCTTGTAAGGCAAAAGGCAATAAATTCACATCAACAAAGCCACGTGACTACCCTAAGAAAAGCCATTTTAGGCAAGCAGAGATATTTTCAAAGTTTGAGACACAGTGAGTGATACTTTTTCTGGAATCATTTGGCAGTTTCATGCCTTGGAAAGAACATTTGTAGTTTCAGCTTCATGCAAACCTTTCTGGCAAAGCCAATATTCAGGGAGAGGGCTGAAGAATAACTACATTTTGTTCGCCCATCTTGAGCAGTATGCACAAGCTAGTCTTCACAAAGGATCCCTTGAAAATTTCGCTATGCAGTATGAAACCCAAGCTGGAGAAGAAAAAGTGTTCTGCTTCAGAGATGCCAGTATCTTGGAGTTTAGGGTTGACTGACAGATTTTTGAGTCTTAAACCACTTCAGAAAATGACTGGGCACCTCAGGGCTCAGTCAGGGTTCTGTAGGAAGTAGGCAGGCATAGCCCCTGACATCAGTAAAGCAAGATTATCAATAAGGAAACCAGACCTGACCAATTTCAATGGCTTTCCACACTTTTAAGCTGTTCTCACAAAAAATATTAACTGCATAATTTCCAACTCTGATTGATTGTATCATCACTTGTATATATGTAAAATTTTCTCCAGCTTGTAACTTCTGCCCTAGACTACCCAAATTCATTATCAAACATTATACAAATACTTCTTTGCGTGACAACAGGCTCTGATTTAACCTCTGTTCACAAAAGAAAAAAAATGCAATATCTAATATATCAATACTTGGAAAAGCATCTCTTAAAATGTCTTTAAGGTATTTGATCATCCTTATTTTTAAAGAAGTCAAAATAATCTGCTGTTAGAATGTCTGCTTTTACTTTGAAAAAGATCCTACTCACACCTTTGCCTGACTGCCTCTGATATCTAGAGTCACACTAACACAAATTCGTTTAGAGCTGGGCTTTTTTGTAATTAAATAACACAATTTATTTTAAATTGTGCAAGTGATCTTGGGCAACAGAAATTACTCCAAACTTTGACATTTGTAACAAACTGGGAATCAGAAGCTCTTTGCCTCATCCAGAATGCTCTGTGAGTTTACATAAAAGTCAGTGCAACAGACCCATTTTCTGATAGGTGTTTTACAAATGTCACATATCCACAAAGCTAGGCTTAATAAGGCAGGATTGGAGGACAGATCTACAGACCCAGGAAATCAACCCTCTCATCTCTTTTGATTAGCCTGGATGCTGTTTTGCTACCTGGCTTTTCACCTCATTTCCTAGGAGTTGCTTTATGTCTCCATATTTCTGGGATGATGTAAAAGAAGCTGAGCTTCTAAGAGCATGACTCAGCTGTCTTTGAAAATCAGTTTCATTGCAGTGACTTATGCATTCAAATTAAATCACTTAAAAGGCAAACTCATCACTGAAAGTGATGTTGCAGTTCTTCATGTCCTCCCGAGCTCTAAGTGCTGCACTTCACAGCTAGGCTGAAAGGAAAAAGGGTTGTTTTCCAGCTCTCTCTGATTTTCTTTGACATCAGTCTTGCTGAGAAGGGATGGGTGTCCCCCATTCATTCAGGGATGCGGAGTGACATAAAAGATTTGCAAGAGTCCAAAACAAGGGCACAGATCATTATGCATCCAGTCTGGTCCAGGTCTTCTTTAAAACCCTAAATAAGTGATATAGGTATAACAAGACAGTGTTCTAGGTCCAAAAGTTAGTGAAACAGCTGCTATAAAACCCTTCATTATCATTTGCACTACAACTGTATGGGTGTGGAAACTGAACTGCTTAGCATTTCTATCTACAAGGCTCACGTAAGCTAGGACCTTGGTGCACTGGCAGCAACAGATGTAGGAGCTCACAGTGTCCCTGTGCTGTCATTCTTGCAAACAGAAGACATGAACTTACAGATCTCTTGACCTAGCACTGTCTGCAGTCTGCAAGACAGCTCTTGAAACTGTACTGCCCTCATAACCAAATTCCTATTTCATCAGAACCAGTCTGTGGCTGTCAGATGGGTTAATTATGTGGAAGAAAGAAGACAGCTGCAAAAAGTTACAGCAAGTTCAAAATTATTCCCAAAGAGAACTGGCCATTTTAGCCCAAATTGAAAGCACAGGATGTAGAAGAACAGGAATGACCATGCAGGTCAAAGGACTATTTCCTAATTGCTCATCTCCCCTACCTGTTCAGAGCTGACTGACAGATAAAAAATTCTCAGGGCATCTTTTGATAACTTCAGACAGCAGTCACAATCTGAACATTTGTTTGGGGTTTTTTAATGTTTTGACTATTTTTTAAAGAAAATGAGATGAAAGAGTGGGGAAGTAATTTTATAATAATAGATCCCACTTTCAGATAATGCTGAAGATAACTTGTTGAGTGAGAAATAGCCTAAGATGTGGTTTCTTACCCTGTGGCATTCTCCACTGCTAACCTCTTGAGCCAGTGTGCTAGGGAAAAATCCCAACCATCGCCCTTTGTGATCCTACCAAATTGACTGGGGTGTGGTCTCTCTGTCTTACTTTTCTAGCCAGGTCAGCTGCCTGCCACTCAAAGCATGCCTGTCTGAGTAGCTGCCATTGTAAGCAGTTTCCAACTTTATCCAGAAAACCATGACCACTGTCAGTACCTGTGGCACCTCGTGCTTTCACAACTACCATCTTTGCCATCTCTCATCAGGGCTAATCCTCAACAACAGCTGATTCATCGGGTGAAATCCAAAACTCTGAATGCTACCATGTCCTCATCTGGGATTATTCTGAATTTACCCCCACGTAAGAAAATCAAGATCCAAATCTCCATACCACAACTTGTTGGTGAAATCCTTGGCAGCATACATAGAAGGGGATGAGAGCAAAAGTGTCCATAGATGGTGTTTTATTCAGTGTTCTCTGAAAACTGCAGAATTTGGAGCTGCTCCAGGGCTTTGAGAAGTTCCAGCAGCTGTCACAGACAGAGAGGCCTCCTGAGTTGCACAGGATTATGAAAGTGTGGCATATTGTGGCCGAGCTTACTCTGCCCCTGTACCCTACCCTTCCTTGGAAAGTAGTGGAAAAAATCTCTGCCATTTAGGGTCTGGCACACGCAAGGCTTAGTGTCTTTGTATGAGAAAATTACAGCTGGAATTTGGGAGAATTCAGGTGTATCGGTATGTAGAGTGAGAGTTCTCACATTAAGGCACTGTACTCCTCATGCCCAGTGAAAATCTAAAGTTATTGCTGTAGCAGAGTGCTCTCACTGATATCAAGGAACATTCAAACGAGCAACAGAAAAAAAAAAGGTAATACCCCACACCACTGGAAAAAAAGAAGAAATCTGCCATATTTTTCACTCCAAAAACAAAGAAAACCAGTGTTCAGAAAACTCAGTATTTTTCTTTTGTCCACAAATCATTCTCCTGACAATACAAAACAACAGGGAAAACCACTCTGTTCTTGTAATATGCTCTGCACAGCAGCAGGTTAAGCAAAAAAATGCACTAGGGTTAGTGAGCAATGTAGACCTGCTGGAGATGTGATTGTTTTGGGGATCCCGTCAAAAATCTAGATGTCTTGCAGACGTCTTCATTTAGGAGAAAAACACAATCATGTAGTGAATCACTCCTTTTAACCAGCTGGCTCTAGTTAAGGAGAAGCTGCAAAGGCTCATGGCAGTAGGGATCAACTACTGAGGGGTAACTTTTCAACTAATGATCCTTCCCACACTTGGATAATCTTCCATACTTGCCCATCCTTAGTTTTGGGCTTCTTTTCAGGCTTTTTCTCTAATAATTTCTTTCTCAGAGACAAACATGTAGCAGTAATTAGAAACACCTTCCTCTGTCCACGTGCTTTGCACCTCTCTGTTTTGAATGGTGATGTGATTGCAGAGGAAGCAGATGCTGTGCTGGGGATTCATGACATAAATAAGCTTGGCTGTTTTGCAACAGAACCTAAACTAGGCAGCATCAATTCTAGACCTATCCCATGCTTTCCATGTGATTTAGCCCAAACAACAATACATTATTCTTTCTAATTGCATGTCAGCCCTGTTGGTGTACTCAGTCATTCTGCCCCAGGGATCCAAATTCAGTTAGTGTTGAGTAGGCACAATAAGTAGGAAAATTAATGAGTCCATTTGCTTTCCAAAACTTTGTTTGCAGGTACAGAGATCCACCTCCCTATTTCCAAATACTAGAGGAGGTAAATATGAAGCAGCTTCACCTCCTTCTTACAACCTTTCATTTCATTCTGGCAGCATCAGTGCTGCTAATAGATTTTATGTATGCAACAACAGGACAAGCTGGCCCAGAATTCAGATGTGGTATTTAGATGTCACCCATAATAGTCATGCTAAAATGGATTTATTCAGGAACACTTTAGAGCTATTTTTGTTCATTTCATATCCTCTGAATTATTGTAACTATTTTAAATACTTATCAGATAGAGATGAGTGTTAGTCCAGATAGAGGAATGGTACTGACATCATGAGAAATCCGTGTGTGGAGTGGTCTCAATAGGACCATCAGTTTTCCAGCTATATTTTAACCTTGTTTGATTGGTAGGAAATATATAGTTATTTGGCACAGATGTTTGAAAACAAGTCTTTATTCCATGTGGTGCTGTGCCCGGTCTAAAGTGCCTGTGCCACTAGGCTTTCCAAATGGCTCAGCCATTATCAGGTTTCAAGAAGGGCCTTAAAGTGGAAATGCCTGAGATCGCAAAGGTCAGAAGGAAATTAAAACCTTTACCACAATGTAACATTTGTGCTATTATAAAGACCACATGATTTCACAACTGCTTCTCTGTAGAGTAGGTGTTACGGAAACATTCTCACAGAGCTGGATTTGGGTCATACATTTTAGTATCCAAAACAGGCATCTTCAGGTGCAAGGGCTGAGCAAATTACATAATAATTAGTACTGAGGCTCCTTTAACATGCAAAAGAGAATATGCTTGCATTCAGGTCAGCTGCTACAAGTAACCCACGATTACTTTTCTCCACCAGGTGTTGAGGGAGTCAGATGGCTCGTGATCTGAAATACCCATTTCTCTCATACACACACAACCACAGCATGATAATCACAGTAGGCTGAAGTCAAAATTCAAGTTTCAAAATCTTTTATCCACCATAAAGTTCTTAACAACTTTGCTATCTCTCATGCTTATGTGGCAATTCAGAGAGATGGGGGAATGGTAACTCTCTAAATACGCGAATTTGAGATTATTATCAAAGCAGTGAGAGTCCAACAGGGATTGCTCTACTTACAGAAGTAACTAGCAGGATGTCTAACCTGCCTGATAAACACCTTGGAATAATTTTTCTCTTTGATCATGGCAAAGAGTTTAACATTTTCATACCTTTTTTGTATTCAGATTTGTGTGACTTCTGAAAAGGAACACGATGGCTTTATCAAGGTATACAGTGGGAAGAAGAAAGGCTTTGTACCCATAGACATCTTAGAAAACATCTGATTCCAACAGCCCAGCCACTGCAGTGGGAGCCCTTTGTTGGCAATGCCTGTCTGCCTCATCTCACACTGTGTCAACCCAGATGGGCTGTCTTGCAGATGTTCAGGGAAATAGTGAAAAAACTGCAACAACATGAAGAAAAAGACATTTAGACTGCCACAGTAACACTAAAAATATGAAAAGTTGAATGTTTGAAAGAAAATGTAGTCAGAAACCACCAGGGAAATGAGAGGTCCTTGGATTCTTAACAGGATTAAGGTAAGGGAGGGAGAAAAACAAAGCCTGGGGTGATTTTTGGTGCAAGATGGCTGCTATAACCCTGACGGAGACAGACAGCTTGTTCTGAAGGACTAAACTAGTATCCTGTTCTTGTGTCTTGGAAAACTGTTGGACTGCTTTCTTGTTTGAAGTGTATATTTTGGGGGAGGGGGGAAAATACTGTTCAAACTGTCCTCGTACTACAGTCCAATGCTTGTAGTAAAGTGTGGCTGTGGTTCTTCAGTTTTGTCCCCAATACCAACCGAGTTTAAGTGTTTAGCCCTGGTATTTAGTCTCATAACAAATAAGTTTGGAGACACCATGTGAATGTCAGTTCAAGAAATGCACTGTGCCCTAGAAGCTGGCAACTTTCTCTTTCTGTGCAATCTTCCCATAAGAAAGACTAATGAATTTGTGTGTCTTTTGTTTTCTCTGTAAATGAACAAAAGCTCTCAGCATATGTTGAGTGTGTGTTGGCTGCTCTCATAGGTCACAAAAATTTCTGGTCCTTGGATTCACAAGCCTGCTTGGAAGCATCACTCTGTGTTTCCTTCACCCATATCTGGTAATACAGAAAATGGGTAAAATACTGGGAGACAGCCACAGGCTTGAAACATTTTATATTTTTCTCTGTTTATTTAACTTAAAACGTTTTATATATTAATCCTATTTGTAAAAAATCAAACTGTTATATAACCCACTGGAAGGCTGAAAATGTTAGGAAAGGACAGGCTGCACACAGGACTGAAGTCTGTAATTATCAAAATGCAGAACTCATGACAGAAAGGCACTGAGTGTCTTGGTGGTGTGTTCACACATCACAGCTCTCTTCTCCATTTGCTAAAGAGAAGTTTTGCAGATTCGGCAGTAAATACACCAACATAGATTTTTCCTTGGCATAAACCGTGATCATCCCTTGAGTCTTTTCCATGCTACTGAGACCTGTGCAGATATCCCTATTTTGTCCATATAAGCCTCCGTCTTCAAATGTGTTCTGGGAACAGGAACCTTTCAGACCTGGGGGTCTTGATTACACAAGTCAGTCAGTGCCAATAGAGCAAGGGTCCTATGATATTTGAAGACAGGGAACCTAATTTCCAAGTATTTAATTTGATGTAGTTGCACCAAATACACTTGAACAGCTTAGCATGTAGAGATTAAGCCCTATCCTAAAGCTCCCTGCTGAATTCATGCCTTCTTTTACTAGCTTGAAACCGAATGCCTTTTTTTTCTGTGACTAACCACAAACTGGTGTCCTGAATCCTGATACTGCATGCCAGACTAGTACAAGCCTTTGCAAAGTTGATGCTCTTTCTATAAAAAGCAGTTACTGGTCCTGTTCCCATATATTGAGCGAAGCTGAATCTGTGTTGCACAGCCCAGGTCTCAGTAGCTGAATTGCCCTGTTTGAATAGCTGATCTTGCTTAAAGCCTTATAAAATCCAGGTGAACTCTACATTTGACCAGAAGTTATTGGAGCAGATGGTCTTCAGCCTCTCAGAGACATACTTTGCAGCTCTTATGCATCATTTAATTGCAGAGGAAGTTGCAGGGCTGCCAACTGCTGAAACATGGCCCTTTGTAATGCAACTGGTCCATACTGATTATTAACAAACTCCTGGCTGATCAAAAGTATCTGATTTTATATCTTCTCTGGGAATATCAGCAGGGCTTTTTTTCCACTTCAAACAACATTTGCTGAGCTCATTTTCTTAAGTAACCAATAAACTCCATGGGAGAAGATTCTGATGATCCTTAAGGATCAAGAGGAAAAGAAGTAGAGACATATTAATCCAGTCTGCTTTATAAGATTTTTTTTATATATATATTCACCCATTCGAAGTAAAAACTCAAGTGTTTGTTACTACTAAAATATTTGCTATTTTTGATCAGGCCTGTCAAGTGGACAAAAGGAAATCTGTATTAATCTCTACATATTGTTTACATGATTGCATCATACTGTGATTCACCCCTTGTTCAGTCTTCTATGACTTTGATTTATCCCTACAACGTACATCACACTATTCAAAGAATTATATTAATATTACCTACCAATCACAATGGCCTTTAATCAATGTCAGTTTTATTCCTTTTGATACTGAGCAATAAATAATAAAGTGACTGAGTGAAAACAAAACAGGCCTTATGTGGACTGCATTACATCTGAGAAACTATTGCTTCTGAACCAAAGCTTTAATGTTTTTATTTTCTTTGTATTTTGGTTGATTGATTGGTTTTGTCTTTTTACTGAGATTTTGCTACCATTCAGTATGTGGATGTAATTCACGCATAATTTAGCAAGAAGCACACATCATACATGAGTCTTACTTTAAGCATGTGATTCATTGGCCATTTCCATGCTTAAAGCTCAAGTACGTTGCTAAATTAAGGTCATTTTACTCAAATTTATTTTGGATGCCTTACTCTGAATCCAGACAAGTATCTCATAACTTTTTTTACTACCATATGCTGTTTGCAATAGGTATTGTGTTAGTAAGCAGTTAAAAATCAGACAGAAAATGGAACATATTTTATTCTGATATAT